ATCTTTTTCTGCAAATTCAGACAGCTTTGTAAAAATTTTATCCTTAACATTTTCACTGAACCAAAGATGTAAATCGGTCGATGCGTCTATAATAGCATTTTTAGTGTTAAAATATTTTAAATCTAAACTTTCGCTATCACTTGATTTTTTAATGAATTCGCCGCAAAATGCAGTATTGACTTTAAGCATTCTATTTGTTTTTAAAATAATTTTAATTTTTCTACTAAAAATAATATAACAATCATTTAGGAACTGTGTTAAGTCCTTATGCACTAAATTAACTATAACTCCAGTTTTAATTCTACTAGCAAAACATGAAATGACATTTTCCCATTTAACTCTATTGCGTAATTTTGAATTAAGCCCCAACCCAACGTACTTATTATTGAAATTTAAAATAATTTGCCTAAAATGCTTAAAATGTCCTATGTAAGTTTGCAATTTTCTAACTGTTCCTACGGATAGTTTATTGTTTTTAATTACTTTACTACATCTAAAAATTTGACTATTTAACCGTCTTGTCCAAACTGTACGATCTCTTTCAGTGAATTTATCGAAAATTATTTTACTAAGCTTTTTAATAATGTGCATCAAATCATCAGACTGTTTAATCACTTGTTTTATATGCATGGCTACTCATAAGAACAAACAATAAGAAAAAATCACTTACCTTATTCAACTATCTTAAAGGATGCAAGGAGTCTGCTTTTTCCAATATCAACTTCCCCTTCGTATATCAGCGAATAGTTTCCGCTGTTGAGGTCCGTTATTGCTGCTTGGTAGGCTTTGGTTACCCGCTGTGGTAAGAAGACAACTTCAGCACCCAAATCCAGCAGAACTGTCTCCCCAAATTGTGTTGTTACCACCTTTGCACTGTGGATGGTAAATTTTTTTCCAATTTGTAGATCTTTAAGTTTTTTTATTGGCTTACGTTCTGCAACCAAGGATGCATTATTTAGTTTTGATAGATCCATCTACAATAATAATAAAAAACTATAGTTTTTCCGCTTAACGTGAATGGAGAGATGCATTACATACTTGGCAATAGAGAAGAACCATATACTACAAGAAATCGAAATACGAACAGCGGAGAATACTTCTTATAAAAAATAGCAGACGTGGAATGTTTTACAACACCCACATCGATAAAAAGGACACAATAAATACATAGAAATATACATTTTTCATAAAATACTGCATGAAATACGAACAGAGAGATGTACAATTCTCATAAAAATACAATGATAAAAAGGACATAATAAATACATAGAAATATACATTTTTCATAAAATACTGCATGAAATACGAACAGAGAGATGTACAATTCTCATAAAATACAATGATAAAAAGGACATAATAAATACATAAAAAGAAACAACCGCTTACCTTTATCAGATATATGTAAGTCACTGCACACCGTATTGACTACTGCGAACTTGTTGTTGTTGTAGTACGTTTGCGAAGCGAACTGTGACAACGTATGCGCTCCTCGGCCTTTTAAAGAACAGAACAGCATATCGCCCCACCCGAGCCCGAGTTGCGTCAACCTAATGTGCCTACGGTACCATCGACTGATTCGTTTCATAGATAAGCAACACCTTGAGTTCTAGAAATGCTAATATTTTTATATTTATTTTTATTTCTTCAACTAATATTTATGGTAATATAATAAATAGATATTGCAGTAAGAGAATCGTTGTTATCAATTTAGAATTTTGTTGATGTGGTTGCTGATATCTTCATACATTTTACAAAATGTAGCAACTGCGGTTTTCTTTCCGGTGTACTTGTTTTTCCAATGATTAAAATAAAATTTGTTATCACACTTGTTTACGTGTTTTGAACAACGCGGTGTATTGTTATCATGAGGCTTCATCCGGTTTGCTAACAAATGCACTATTTTAACATATTATTATTTAAAATATTTCTGTCTTAATATTTCAGTATATAATTCTGTTTTTGTGAATTTTGTATAAATAACTATAGTACCAATTTTTTTGGAAATTAGTATAAATCAAGATGCTGGTCTCTTTACATGTCTTATTGTTGCTCTCTGTATCTGTGAGTGCAGAGAATAGCACTCTGGCGTATGCTAGTTCTTTTCTTAAACGTTTCGGATATCTAAATACATCAAATAATGCTCTTTCTAGTATAGATATGGCCCTAGTTGCTTTTCAGGAAAAATACAATCTTCCTGTGACTGGAACATTAAATAATGATACTATAAATATGATTATGAATAAGCCTCGATGTTCTGTTGGTGACAATAGCTATGCAATTTATTCGAAGTGGAATAAAACGATTTTACGCTGGTATTTCCCTCGTGCCGCTGCATATGTGTCACTGAAGGCATCTGAATGTCTCTGTTATGACGCTCTGTTACCCTCTGTGTACCTCTGCTACCCTCTGTTACCCTCTGCTACCCTCTGTTACCCTCTGCTACCCTCTATTGTCCTCTGTTATTGTGTCTTTGTCTTTTAAAATGTCGAACGTCACGTCACAACGTCACACGTCACGACATTTCACGTCCTACGTCGAATGTCACGTCAATTCACGTGACATTTCACGTTTTGTGTCGAATGCCACATAAATGACACGTCTTACGTCGAATGTCACGTCTTGCGTCAAATGTCACGAGACACTTCACGTTCTGTGTTGAATGTCACATAAATGTCACGTCCTGCGTCGAATGTCACGTCAATTCACGTGACATTTCACGTTTTGTGTCGAATGTCACATAAATGTCACGTCCTGCGTCGAATGTCACGTCAATTCACGTGACATTTCACGTTTTGTGTCGAATGCCACATAAATGACACGTCTTACGTCGAATGTCACGTCCTGCGTCAAATGTCACGAGACATTTCACGTTCTGTGTTGAATGTCACATACCTGTCACCTCCTGCGTCAAATTTCACGACATTTCACGTTCTGTGTTGAATGTCACATACCTGTCACCTCCTGCGTCAAATTTCACGACATTTCACGTTCTGTGTTGAATGTCACATACCTGTCAACTCCTGCGTCAAATTTCACGACATTTCACGTTCTGTGTTGAATGTCACATAACTGTCACGTCCTGCGACAAATGTCACGTCCTACGTCAACGTTCTCTTAGCCACTGTACTGAAACGAAGAAGAAGAATGTTCAAGCGTTGACATGGCTTCTGTGTGTGTGTGTGTATGTGTCACCAACGCTTTCATTTGACACTTCATACGTCAAAATCAAGCCAATAGCAACAAAGATACGTTTTTAACGCCCATTTGGCAACGTCGCCATCTTTGTTTTTTGTGTCAAAGTATTCCCCGTCTTATCCCCGTTCCATCGAGCCCTCGTACGCCCCGATCGGACCAATAGAAACGAAGATACCCCATAATGACCTTTTGGCATGCTCCGATGCGCACGGCACATACCGCGTTCAACCCCATTTTTCATCCCCTTTCCAACGAGTCCTCGTACGCCCCGATCGGACCAATAGAAACGAAGATACCCCATAATGACCTTTTGGCATGCTCCGATGCGCACGGCACATACTGCATTCAACCCCATTTTTCATCCCCTTTCCAACGAGCCCTCGTACGTCATCCTACGTTCAGCCGTTTGGAACTTACGACCGGGGGTTGCGATTTTAGGGGTTGCAATTTAGGGGTTGGTCTCAAAGCTGTGTACCCTATCTACTGAACAACCAAAAAATATATGATCTAAATCACTTTCCTCTCCACAATGCTCACATTTGTCATCATCCAAAACCTTTATTTGAAATAACTGCTTTGGATAATATGCGTGCCAAAACGTATTCTAATAATGGAAGTTATGTGCCTCCTGGAAGCTCTGAAAGACTTGTACCAAGGAAATTTGGGAATATCTGGCTGAATTATCGAGTATCTATTTTGGTTCACAAAGGAGTATTACTTCCACTGGTAGCTCCACTCTCGAAGCAATGTTGACTTGCAAGAAACAATACTGTCAGAAAGCGTTACTTTATGTAAAATATCAGTATCGGTTAAAATGCTTTCTTTGGCATTTGAAAAAAAAGCATGATAGTGGATAAACAATACAACAATCATTCACATCTAACCAGAATGCTTTAGAAGGAGATAAAACGTAGATGTGATCTAGCCAAGTTCGATATGGGAAAAATGGCCTCGACTAGCTGGACCATCAGGGATTAATTGAAATCAATAGGGTAGATAAGTTCCATGATATGGAGTTGATCTCTTAATATTAACTACCTTGGGTTTACTTCTAGCAAAAAATTGAATGCGTTAGATTAGTTCGTTTATTTTCTGCAGAACGGTGTACGGCCTTCCCAGTTTTGTTTAAATTTCGGACAAAGTACTTTCTTACATGTGGAATTATATATCCATATTGGGTCACCTCTTTTAAAAGTTGTACCAGTAGCATGCTTGTCGAGCCTGGCCTTGGCTTTATTACTTTGAAGCTTCAAACTTTTACGAGTAAATTCGTAAACTTTTTTTTATTTTTCTTTCAAATTTTCAATGTACGTCAGTGATAGACGTTCTTCTTCGCAGGAGGGCAATCTTCCGAAAATCAAATCTTGAGGAAGCTTGATTTCTCTTTGGGTGGCCATCATCGATGAGGAATAACCAGTTGCTTCATGTTCGGAACTTCTACAGACTAACAGAAATAGAGGAAATAAAATATCCCAATCTTTTTGATTATCAGCGAAAAACATTGAAGGGTTTTGATAAACAGTTAGTTCTATTACGTCTTTCTAAGTCAAGACTTTCATTAATTCTTGCCATATTTCTGATTCAAAATTTCGTCCTTAATCAGAATTTAACTCAAAAGGAACTCCATGCCTTGATACGATATGTGTTATGAATGTTTCTACCAATGTATCCAGGCTATTTTGAAAAATATTCTATTGCGACCATTAAGTACTTGTTCCTTCTCTCTGCCATTGGAAGTAAACTTTCGTAACATTATGATTACGTTCAAGTCCGAGAAATAATTAATTAAAAAATATATCTTACAGGTCAATTATGAAAATGTTCCACCTCAACAGGCTCCAATGCAATCACGTCAACAACAATTTCAGCCTCAGAATGGCCCATTAGAACAAGAAGGTAAGTAAATACAGCTAATATAGATTTTTACAGATGATTAATGAAAATAATATCTTTGTGTAAATGTATATTGTATATATATATATATATATATATATATATATATATATATTATATATATATATATATATACTGTTCATTCTTTTAAAACATTATTATTCAGTATGTCATTCGAAATTTAAATGTACATACTTATTACAGATCCAGAATGTGACAATATGTTGGAATTGACCACCGAAAAGGAAGCTGAAATTATATCGCTTATAAAAGAGACCGATAGAGAAAGAGGAAGACTTTATGTGTTACCAATAAACAAAAAGATACGTTTGATGGAACAAATGGAATATATTGAAACGGGTGTCGTCAGAAGAGATCTTAAGGAATTCCAAGAAACGAGAAGAAAATTAGTTTTTGATTTACAGAGTCTCCTATCAACTCTGCCGAATGTTAGGCAAACCGTCAGAGGTAATATTTAGCTATATTTTCCCTTCTATTTTTTTATCTATAACCAGTCTATGCACAGTTTAGTAATACAAAACACTTCTATATGTTGCATAATTAGGTAGTTATTGGCTTTTCTATACTTAATCTTTGTATACAAAATGTCATTAGAAAATTAGCATAATTATTAGGTACATATTTTGGAAAATCCATTTTAAAATAAATGCTCAAGTACTATTGGGACCGTGCAAGTTCGGAACAGCGACAGCTGGTGTCGTAAATCAGCAAAATTTACTGCGCTTTTATGTTAGATCGAGGTAACCGGATAACTGTCAAGGACGTGGCCCCAAAAAAGAATAAGAAGAAAAAGTAAGATTGAGGTTATGTCGGTATGTTATTAAAAGGTAAACGTTGATGTAGCGTAAATACAAATAAATATATTATTGAATTACAGCATTACTGTTAATATGGATTCAATAATAAAAACTGGATTTGAGAAAGTAAATCACCAAATAACTTTTCAACCAAGCACTGAGTCAAAGGGAAAAGCTTTAGTAGTGGCAAATGTCAAAAAATAATGGAAGAAATAAGAAAAATAAATTACCATAAATAATGCTAATGCATAAATTAGCAGGTTAAGCCCATGATATCATCATATTGGTTTGAACAATTAATTCTTTCCCTGTAAACTTTTGGACAGCGAATTATATCTTAATGCATCTTCAGAAAAACTTGAACTTGATGCATTCTTGTAAACTTCAAAAAAATAAAATTTAAACATGAAACTGGATTTTTGGGTTAAAATGAACTCTAAGTGAGTGTTATGAAACTAAAATTTACACTTAAAAGTGAACTTTTATTTATTATTTATTTCAAACTGACTTTAAAATCGGGCGCAAGAATAATGCATAATTTGGGTTATGTTACTTATGCTTTTTTATGATATAAATCCACTTTTCTCTTTGTAGTAGCTTTGTGCTTCGAAGTTGGAAACGAATAAAACTAAAATTGACAATTTTTTGTTGTATTTTTACAATTTATAACACAGCATTTCCTAAATCCCATTTTCTTCAGAGACAGAAGGTGTAAATGTAAATAAACAAAACGAATATGAAATATGACAATTGACAATATGAATTTATGAAATCTATGAAATGTGCACTAAAAAATGCAAAATTTCTCCGCTACTCGCGCACGATCGTTTCTCGTATCCCCTCCAAGTACTTGCACTTCGCCAATACTGTCAAGTAATTATTGAGATTGGAATTATTCAATCTTGAAGTGTTGTTTTTAGCAACTTTTATTTGGCCTCATATCAACTTTAATTCGCTCAGTTCATTATGTTAAAGAAGTAACCGGATACATGTTAAATAATGTCTTCAATGTATTACAATATTCCTGCTGTTTCTATTAAAGTATTTAGAGAGTGGTTTTGCTGATTAGTACTTACGCTAGATCTAGCTTTACAACATTTTAAACGTTGCCTACCATCCAGTAAGTTGCCGTTCCATCGTATTTGTGGTCTTCCTACTGATCGTCTTTCTATTGGGGAACCGTCTTTTGCTGTCTTTACTACTCTATTTGTTGTCATTTGGCTTATATGATCGTTCCATTCTACTCTTCTATTTCTTACCCAGTTCTTGATGTTCTCCACCTTGCATTTACGTCGTATATCTGTACTTTTAGCTTTATCCCATAGTGTCTTACTATCAATTTTTTCCTCTATGCTGTTTCTAACATTCTTTTGTCCTCTCTGTATCAGGTCTTGTTTCTGCCGCGTATGTCATTATTGTCCTTTTCCTTTTCGAATTCCATTATCGAATACCCACTTTAGAGGACAAAATTATTAGGAACCAAATCGACTTTATTCTAATAAAAAATTTATTTAGAAACTGTATCAAATCAGTTAAAACTTATCCAGGTGCTGACATTGCATCCGATCACAATCCCATAGTACACGCGTAAACCAATTAAAATTAAAAAAGGTGATCAAAAAGAAGTCTCGCAACAATATTGATACAGCCCAATTACAAGACGAGAAAGTTAAGGAATCAGTTTAAAGACAACTGAACGAAAATTTAATGTGGGAAAATATTGGTGAAAACGTCGATGAGGGCTTAAATAAAATCGTAAGAAATGTAAAAGAAATCTGTGTGAGAAATTTACAAGGCAGGTCAAATCTAAAAAAGCAGACTGAAAAGGACTGCTGGGAAAAATTGGCTACAAGTAGCGTACAATAAAAAACAATGGAAAGGAAGACTTGAAGAGGCTTATGTTCAGATGTGGACGTGAATGGCTAGACGAAGAAGAAGAAGAAGAAGAATGTCATTATTGGTCTGATATTTTTATTTCTCCATATTGTTTCATTTAGGCAGCCTGCGGCTCTGTTTGCTCTATTCTTAAATTTTCTGGCGGTTATTTTAACGCTAAATTCGACAAAGGACGCTGTTTGAACATTGTGGGGCATTATGGCCTGGGAAACACAAACGAACGTGGAGGCCGACTTGTCCAGTTCTGTCAAGAACACGATTTCATTATATCGAATATTCACTTTAAACTACCACCGAGAAGACTTTACTCCTGGAAGTCAAATGCAGAATCAGAGGACAAAATTATTAGGAACCAAATCGACTTTATTCTAATGAAAATTGGTTTAGAAACTGTATCAAATCAGTTAAAACTTATCCAGGTGCTGACATTGAATCCGATCAAAATCCCATAGTAGCTGTAACCCAATTAAAATTAAAAAAGGTGATCAAAAAGAAGTCTCGCAAAAATATTGATACAGCCCAATTACAAGACGAGAAAGTTAAGGAATCAGTTCAAAGACAACTGAACGACAATTTAATGTGGGAAAATATTGGTGAAAACGTCGATGAGGGCTTAAATAAAATCGTAACAACTGTAAAAGAAATCTGTGTGAAAAATTTACAAGGCAGGTAAAATCTAAAAAAGCAGGCTTGGATGACAGACCACATATTGGATTTGATGGAACAACGGCGACTAGCGAAAAATAACGAAACACTTTACAACAGCATACAAAAGGAAATTCGACGTAAAATACGAGAAGCAAAGAGTCAACATCTAGCCAAACAGTGACATGACATTGAAGAACTTGAAAAAAGATACGACACGTTTAACTTGTATAAAAAAGTGAAAGAAGCGGTTGGTATCTTCAATAAGAAACAAACTGTATTGCTACAGGATGAAAATGGTAAAATACTATTTGAAGTAGAGGACAAACTTAAAGAATGGGAAAATTACGTCACGAACCTATTCGAAAACGATAGGAATAGTTCACCTCCCGATATTACTAACTGCGACGGACCCCCAATAACACACTCTGAGCTTATCAAAGCCATACAATCATCAAAAGATGGCAGAGCGACTGATCCTGATGAAATTCCAACTGAAATATATAAGCTTATAAATGATAGCAATGTTTTAGAGGCTGCAACTTCGTTTTCAATACCATTTATACCAGCGGACAACTACCTAATGGTTGGTCTAATTCACTGTTTATAGCTCTACCTAAGAAGAAAACGGCAAAAACCTGTGCTGATTATAGAACATTAGTTTGTTAAACCACTTATTAAAAATTTTTCTGCAGGTAATACATGGTTGTATCTACAATAAATGCGAGGAATACCTGGATGACACTCAGTTTGGTTTCCGTAACGGGTTTGGAGCGAGAGAGGCACTGTTTGGAATAAACGTACTTGCTCAAAAAGGTCGTGATATATCTGTGGACATATACTGTTGTCTTATTGACTTCCAAAAGGCATTTGATCGTGTTAAGCACTCTTTATTGATCGAAGCTCTAAAAGACATTGGCTTTGACGGCAGAGATCTTCGAATAATTGCAAATTTATATTGGAATCAAACAACATCAGTTGTAGCAGATGGTGTGGAATCACAGGTACCCACAGATGAGTACGGCAGGGGTGCCTCTTGTCACCCCTGCTTTTTAACGTTTACACCGAAAGAATTTTCAGAAAAGCACTTTCTGAAAAACAAGAACAAGGAATACTTGTGAACGGCGAAGTCATCAATAATTTGCGATATGCGGACGATACAGTACTCCTAACTTCTAGTCAAGAAGATCTGCAAACACTACTTGGTAGTCTCGTTGAGAGTTGTAGGGAGGCAGATCTAGATCTTAACATACGGAAAACCAAAACACTCGTAATAAGTAAACAACAGCATATAAAAACGTCTATATATGTAAATAATACCAAACTTGAGCAAGTTGATAAAATCGTTTACCTTGGAGAGCAATTAAATTGTAACGCAGAAAGTCACGGAGAAATTAGATCTAGAATAGAGCAGGCTAGAGCTGCTTTTAGAAGTATGTCCAAGATGTTATGTAACAAAGACCTAAAATTGGCATTGAGGATTCGCCTACTTCGCTGCTACATATTCTCGGTCTTACTTTATCGTGTTGTCCTGGACTGTGAATAAAACCGATCTAAATCGTCTTGAGGCTTTCGAAATGTGGTGCTATAGAAGAATTTTAAAAGTTTCCTTGGTGGAGAAGATTCGAAACTCCAAAATACTAGAACGTCTCAGCAAGACTACTGAGATAATAAAAAGTATCAAGCAGAGAAAGCTGGAATATTTCGGACATGTAATGAGAGGTCCTTAATATAGGTTGCTACAAAATATCATGCAAGGAAAAATAGCAGGCAATCGCAGTCCAGGACGAAGAAGAACCTCATGGTTGAAGAACTTGCGAGACTGGTATTGTGTCGATACAAGCATGCTATTTAGGGTGGCAGTGCATAAAATTAAGATAGCTATGATGGTAACCAACGTTCTGAATGGACATGGTACATGAAGAAGAAGAAGGCGGTTATATTAAATTCAATGAGTCTCTCATTCATTGAGTCTAAAAATCAGACTCAATGAATCTCCCTGTCTTTCCCCATTGCCAGCTTCAATAGGGTCGGTTAGTTATTCTTCTACTTTTTCTTTTATTGTGTTGTTTAGGTAGATATTTTTGAACGTTTTGATTATTCCTAGAGGTATCTCTCTTGCGTACAGTAAATGGATAACGTCTTTTAATTTGACCCAGCCTTTGTAAAGTCCACGAAACATAGATATGCTGGTTTGTTGTATTCTAATGATTTCTCTCGCACTTGCCTCATTATAAACATAGCGTCGGTGCATGATCTTCCTGAGCTAAAACCTTGTTGTTCTTATGCTATTGTTATCATTTCATTCAATTTATTTGTTATCACTTTGGTTGTTAGTTTTAGTGTTGTGTTTAATAAATTAATTCGTCTGTAATTTTCTGGGGCCGATTTGTCTCTCTTTTTGAAGAGAGGCATTAGGATGCTTGATCTCCATTCGTAAGGAATTTTGTTTTCTTCTATTATTTTTTGGATTAGTTTTAATAGTTGTTTGGTAGAATCTGGTCCTCAGTACTTTAGGAGTTCGTTTGGTATTCTGTCTTCTCCTGGTGATTTTCTATTTTTATTTTCCTTAATGCTTCCTTTACCTCTTCCTCCTCAATATTTATTTCTTCGTTTGTCATCATCTCTGGTGTTGGTGGTTCATTATCGTCACCTTTAGCAAATAAGGATCGAATGTAGTCTACTCATTTTTCCTTCTGAATATCTTTCGTTTTTATTATTTCGTTCATCTCTTTTCTTTGTCTTCTGATCATTCTCCATATTTCTTTTTGTGTTCCGTAGAAGTTGTGTTCCATCTGTTTTGGGAAACTCTGCCAGTGTTCCTTTTTTATTTGTCTAACTAAAGTATTCGTTTCATTTCTGATTCGTTTATACTGGTTGTATGCCTGTTGCGTTTGTTGTGTTCTGTATTGTGAAAAGGCTTTCTTCTTTTTTCACATTTTGTCTTCACTTCCTGTCTAAATCATGGTGTTTTCTTTTTTGATATGTTAGTGTTCGTTGCTTTCCTCTCTCCAAGTGATTCTGTTGCTGCGTTAATTTTGCTATTTTTGAGTTTTTCCCAGCTTTCTTTGATGTTATCGTTTTCTAATATTTCATTCCCAGCATCTTCTCTGATATTCTTTTCCTGTATAAATATTTCGTGGATTCCGTATTTAGTCCTTCAACTTTGATTTTTGTTTGTATTAGTGCCGCTCTTTTGGGTGGAAAGTATTTCAGGATTATTCTTATTTTACATAATACTAGGTACTAGTATACTAGGTACATGTACTAGTACATGCATATCTATCTCTGAGTACATTCTTTCAATTAATTTTCAATTTTAAATTTGCGACATCTAGCATTCTTATCAGATACTAATCCAGCAGTGTTATCAATACTGATAATTTCTGTATTAATTATTGTAAATATAGGATTAAGAGTTTGACACTAATTAAATATATTGTTTTTATTTTTAGCTATTGATACAAGAGACGTGAAATAAATGCATGATTGGTATCTACCACTTGTGAGTACACAAAGTAAGTAAATAATCGTCTAATCGATAAATTTGTATATATTTCTTATCAATTGAAACATGGAACACATCAAAAATTATTTCATATACTTTTACAAGAAAGTAAATTTCCAATAGACATCTAGTCCAGAATATGACGGTAAAAATAGTAGAAAACAATTGATGGATTCGACCGTTACTTGATGGAAATTCATTTTATGTAACAATAAAACAATGAAAACTTGTTTTCAAACTTCCACAAAATTTATTTTAAATCTTATCACTACAGCTGTTTCGCCTGATTGCCTTTCTCAAGTGATCTAATTTTAGCTTGTGTTTACAAATTTATAGTCTCTAATGAAATAGGTTGAGGAGGGGAGAACTGTTTGTCTCAAGTTGGTCATTCAGAATTATATCTGTGTTTTTTATTTTGTTGATTTCCATAGATTCTAACAAAGATAGCTTAAGGCCTTTATTTTGAATGTGAAGAATTTTAAATTTGTCATTAAAAGAATGATTATGATCTAGAAGGTGAAGTGCGTATGTCGAATCTGTTTTTCTATTCTTGAAAGCCCTTTTATGTTCTGCTATTCGTTTATCAAAGTTTCTACCAATTTGACCGATGTAAGTTTTTGGGCAGTCGCCACATTGAAGTTGGTACACACCACTATTTAAGTGTTTTTTTATTTTGGCTCTTGTTATTTTTTAATATATTTGCCTAGGTTGTTATTTGTTCGGAAAGCTGGTGTTATTCCTTTCTTTTTTATGTGTTTGGCAATTTTTGTTGATATTTTGCCTGTATATGTAATTGAGCAGAAGGTACTGGGTTTTTTCTCTGGTGCTGGAAATACTAATTTCAGGGCTTTCTTGTGTAGTTTTTGATTTAACATTTTATTAATTGTTTGTTCGTTGTATCTGTTGTTTACTGCTATTTGCTTAATTATATTTAATTCTGTCTCAAAGTTGTATTTTGACATCGGAATTTCTGTTAATCTTTGTAACATACTATGGTAAGCTGTCAGTTTATGTTGTGTTGGATGGGATGATGAATTGTATATAGTCGTGCCAGTATGGGTAGGTTTATGAAATATGGAGAAGTCATGTTTGTTTTGAAGTCTGTTAATTTAATCTAATAAGTCTGCTAATGTAATCAATACATAATTTTTTTAGATTTAAAAATTAGCAGACTTCAAAACAAACATGACTTCTAAGATATCATAAATTAGATGAAACTTAGATATCATAAATTTGTAAACCCAAGCCAAAAATAGATCACTTGAGAAGGGCAATCAGCCGAAACAACTGTAGTGATAAGGTTTAAAATAAATTTTGTGAAAGTTTGAAAACAAAGTTTTCATTGTTTTATTGTTACATAGTAGAAAACCTTTGACATTTTTACAGTTACTTTGTAAAAAATAGCTCAAGTATCAAAATCCACTCTAGGGCATTATGTGCTTTTTCTCTGGGGTTGGTTATCACTCCAACTCTGTGGTGGGAAAAGTTTATCAAAAAAAAAACATTCCAGTCGCTAGAATGGTTAATTTTAAGACAAAAATAATTAAATAATTTGAAAAGTCAATATTTTTGGAGTAATTCGTTACCGGAACTTCACAAATTACAAGTCAAAAAACAAAATGCATGGTTGTAACAGCTAATTTACTAAGATGTAAATTGGAGCTGGAAAGTCATATTATAGGAGAAGTGATGGAATTTAAATATCTAGGCATCACATTACTACGGAAAGCTCGAAACAGAAGTGTAAGATCAACAGACCTATCGTAAGACCAAAAACATAGCTAGTAGAGATCTACAAATTATATCGAATCTGTATCAAAATCAGAAAGCAAGAATAAGAGTCGAAGGAGAACTGACAGAGGAAGTAAGTATACTTAGAGTAGTTCGACAAGGATGCATACTTTCACCACTCTTATTCAACGTCTACAGTGAAGTGATATTGCAAGAAGCTTTATTGGATATTGTGGAAGGTATTTTGGTCAACGGAAATAGCATTAATAATATTAGATATGCATACGATACGGTCATATTTTTAAGTGACATGGAAGATCTACAGTACATAATACATGTATACAATGCATGTGAAAGGTACGGACTGAAAATGAATCTCAAGAAAACGAAATCAATGATATTCTCAAAAAAAAACCACAAACTGTAGATAACCGGATCATCAATAATACAACGATTGAAAGAGTACAAACATATAAATATTTAGGAACGTGGCTAACCGAAGATGGAGATCAAACAAAAGAAATCAGATCTAGAATAGAAATGGCAAGAAACACGTTAATAAAATTGAAGAACTTACTTTGAAACCATAACCTTAATCTAGAGAGCCGCACAAGAATGCTACGTTGTTACGGTTTTTCTACTTTACTATACGGAATGGAAGCGTGGACAATAAAACAGTCTGAAATCAAAAAATTAAACTCCTTTAAGATGTGGTGCTGCAGGAGAATCCACAGAGTATCGTGGACTGAAAAATTAACTAATATAGAGGTGTTACAAAGAATGAAGAAATAATGTAAAGTCATAAAAACTGCTAAAATTAGAAAGCTTTAATATCTGCGTCATATAATGAGGGGCGATAAGTAGGTATTACTTAGGTTAATGATGCAAGAGAAGATACAAATGAAGAGAAACCCAGGACGACGAAAAATATCCTGGCTAAGACATTTAAGAGAGTGGTTTGGTTGCAGCTCACTAGAATTATTCAGAAGCTCGGCTAATAAAATTAAAATAGCAGTGAGGATTTCCAACCTCCGATAGGAGAAGGAACCTGAAGAAGCATATCAACAGACCAAACAGAGCCGCAGGTTACCTGAACGAAACAATATGGAGAAATAAAATTTTCGGTAAAGAAATGAAAGGCAGGATTTACAAAACAGTCATCAGACCAATAATGACAGGGATAGGCGATAAAATTACGACTTGACAGAGAGATGAGAAAAAGGATGTAAGAAACAGCAGAGATAAAAACACCTAGAAAAATAGATGGTAAAACATTATGTAACAGAGCTAGAAGTGCAGGTATACGACGTACATGCAAGGTGTAAAATATGAAGGACTGGGTAAGAAATAGAAAAGTAGAATGAAACGATCATATAAGCCGAATGACAACAAATAGAGTAGTAAAGACGGCAAGAGATGGTTCCCCAATAGGAAGACGATAAGTAGGAAGACCACAAAAACGATGGAACGACAACTTACTGGAGGCACATTGAAAAACAGACAGACTCCTGGCTACATAAAAAGAAGAAGAAGAAAAATAACAAAAATTCAAAATATTGTGTAAAAAAGATGCTGTTTTTGTATTGTAGCATTTTTTCTGTATCTTTTTAGCTGTTGAGTTATTAAAAAAAGGAGATTTTTTGAAAAATTCAGAAAACACTATTTTCTCTTTAAACTCTGAGATTCTTTCAAAACTAAACCATCTAAACCAGTTAAACTTCCAGAATATAATATTTGTATATAAATGAAGTAATCAAACAGTAAACAAGTACCACACTTATGCAAAAAGTGGCGTGGCAATCTACATCACGAACTGAACGCAAACCAACACATACCACAAATGTTTCCCTGCACATTCGCCAATTCATTGGGTAAAAGTACCGGGTGGTCCAATAAGCCGATCTATCAGAAACTATTCATGTTCTAACTTTAGGGAAAAAAATTCCTTAGTAAAGTGGCCAAGAGAAATCGCTGGAAATAACTTTGAAGTTTCTGGGTTAACCGCTAGGGGACGTAACCTGTGAAGAAAACTTTGAAAACCAGTTTTTGGGAAATATGTCCAATTATACCAAGTGTTAAATAGGTAAACTACAAAGAGGCATACATTCTGCACAAAGTTGTTCAAGTACTTTTTTTATTTTTTATTTTTTTCAAATAAAGTGTGGGGGAGTGGGAAAGTATTTGTGAATAAATACCCATAACTTTGGTTTGGATCAACCGATTTTAACAAAATTAGTGTCAAAAGAAAGAGTGTGGATGAATTAATTTACATCTACTATAAAATTAGTTCTATATTATACACCTATATATCTATAAATTATTCTATATACCTATTTATTGTAAATTATAATGAAACTGGATTAAATTACAAACAAAATGGCGCAAACCACATGTCAATATCTTCTGTTCAACTCGAGATATGAATAAAAACGCGTAGGTATACATAAGTAAGTATAGTATTGACACACCCTGTATTATAAATTAAATTAAAAAATAAGTCAGTATGTACTTTCAGATTTTTTTATAGCAGAAAAATCTTAACGTTTAAATACGAAAAAATAAAAAAAAAAGTACTTGAACAACTTTGAGCAGAATTTAAATCTCTTTTTAGTTTACTTATTAAACACTTCGTATAATTGGTCATATTTCCCAAAAAACTGGTTTTCAAAGTTTTCTTCACAGGTTACGCCCTCTAGCGGTTAACCCAGAAACTTGAAAGTTATTTCCAGCGATTTCTCTTGGCCACTTTTACTAAGGATTTTTTTTTTCTAAAGTTATAACATGAATAGTTTCTGATATATAGCCGAGAGATCGGCTTATTTTACCACCCGGTACAGTGGATATAGTAACCGATGTGCTTCTAGCGGCATGAGGAAATGGGGCTGATTATCGATGGATTATCCTGATTATATTTGACATCCGAAATGCTTTTAATACATTGCAGTGGGGTCACGTAATGAGTTCTTTGGAAATAAAGAACTATCCTGAGTATCTGGGGAATGTGGTCGATGATTATTTTCCGGGAGGAAGATTGTGGTGGAGAATGGTGTGATGGTGAATGTAACGGCTGATGTCTCGCAGGGCTCCGTCCTGGGTCCGACTCTGTGGAACGTGGCATAAGACGCGGTCTTAAACTGCGAATATGGGGAGAGCGCTACCCCTTTCGCATTGGCGGACAACTCTTGCTTCGGATTACGCGTACGTCTGTCCTTGTTGAGGATTGGATAAGCGAGCATGATCTTTCTCTCGCGGGGGATAATACGGAGGCTGTAGTACTGAAAGACTATAAAAAGAGAGATAGTATTATATTTGAGTGCGCGGCAGCGAGAGTGATGCCCAAAAGGTACGTTAAGTATCTGGGAGTTACTTTCTATCAGGGTGGGAGTTGGAGGAATATTTGAGGGGTGATCTGCTGAGCAATTCAGAGAATGGCTGCGTTGGGAAGGATAATACCCAATATCGGTGGACCCAAATCCGAAAGCAGAAGGGCTCTTAGCGGTGTTGTGCTGTCTGCCGTCCTCTATGTGGCCCCAGTCTGGAGTGAGAAGGTAGAAATATCAACTTACAAGAGGCTCATGGTACGCGTCGACAAAACTAATCTGCTGCGGGTAACATTTGCCTACAGGAATGTGCTGTAGATGCTGTAAATTGTAAACAAACATAATTATATAAAATTTAGTCCTGCGTGCATATTTAACGATGAACAGAGATTTTTACGGTCCAAAAATAAGATGACGCCACTGGACGTAACAGTTTTTGGCCCATTTAAAATAACATTAAGTAGAGAAATGAACGTCTTTATAAAATCAATGCAGTATCAGAAAATTACACGATATGACCTAGCATCATTATTTAACAATGCTTAAGCTCGTATCGCTATAGTAGAGGAGACAGTTAAAGGATACGAGGTGACTGGTGTATGTCCTGTTAATCCAAACTTGTCAAAAAAAATGAAAGATCTCAAAGATCAAACATCGGTTTACAGACAGCAATCCAAACAAATGTATCTCCAAAACCAAACATATCATTTACAGAATTAATGCCAATACCCGGAACACCAAATAACAAAAAAAAAGACGGAAACAACATTCAAAGTTTTCAATTTCTGGCTTCAACACCCTTTAAAAGGAAATTAATTACTATTTAACTGAGAATAAGCCACAATTAAAAGATAAAAATACGTTTATTGACGTTTCAATTTCCACTTCGGAAATCGTTCTCAAAATACAAACAGTAAATTAAACAAATTTTTTTTTGTTACATAGTGAAAAATTCTTCTAATAATTTAATTTTATCTGACTCATTTATATTGACAATTCAGACATACATTATGCATTTTAAAGTAGACGACTTTAAAATGATATTGCCAATATTGTTGAGTTGCGCTCCTGGGACGACTTTACTTATAAGATAGTTCATTCGATTACATGAAATCAATTTTAACTTGAGAATATCCGTCAGAAAAAAATCATAGCATGTAATTCGTCTTTAAAAAGACAAACACATGACATGATGATAGTAAAATTTTCCTGTTAGTGATTCCATAGTAAATTATGAGGGAAAAACCAGGAAAAAAACCTCATAATACTATCCCGACGTTGTAAGTATTTGTTCGTGAATTTAGTTTACCTTCAACAAACATCAAAATTCTGATTTTATATGTTACGTTATTTAAAAAACATAAATGATGTATCCTCTATATGTTACTGACTTACTAATACTAGTATTTTCTTATTAATAACTTTCTCTTTTAATATTGGTAACCAGATCCTACTACATTCTGCCGAGGAATTTACGACACAATTGGCAATGCATGGGATAATGAATGTAGGGTTCAATGGAATAATTCAAATGTAGTCCTAAAAGAAACGGATGGTAAAAAAAGAAAAATCAAAGAAGCGGCTCTAATTATGCTAAATGAGGCCAATTGTGTCGCAAATTCCTCGGCAGAATTTAGTAGGATCTGGTTACCAATATTGAAAGAGGAAGTTATTAATAAGAAAATACCAGTATTAGTATGTCAGTAACATATAGAGGATACATCATTTATGTTTTTTTAAATAACGTAACATATAAAATCAGAATTTTGATGTTTGTTGAAGGTAAACTAAATTCACGAACAAATACTTACAATGTCGGGATAGTATTATGAGGTTTTTTCCTGGTTTTTCCCTCATAATTTACGATGGAATCACTAACAGGAGAATTTTATTGTCATCATGTCATGTGTTTGTCTTTTTAAAGACGAATTACATGCTATGATTTTTTTCTGACGGATATTCTCAATTAAAGTTGATTTCATGTAATCGAATGAACTATCTTATAAGTAAAGTCGTCCCAGGAGCGCAACTCAACAATATTGGCAATATCATTTTAAAGTCGTCCCAGGAGCGCAACTCAACAATATTGGCAATATCATTTTAAAGTCGTCTACTTTAAAATGCATAATGTATGTCTGAATTGTCAATATAAATGAGTCAGATAAAATTAAATTATTAGTAGAATTTTTCACTATGTAACAAAAAATAAAATTTGTTTAATTTACTGTTTGTATTTTGAGAACGATTTCCGAAGTGGAAATTGAAACGTCAATAAACGTATTTTTATCCTCAATTGTGGCTTATTCCCAATAGTAATTAATTTACAATGCCACAAGAAAATAGCTTCAGAACAATATTAAAAGGAAATATTTTAACAAAAAGAGAACAGAAGTGCAAGTAAAATTTCGAAAGAATCTGCACCAATAAAGAAATCGAAAAGAGATATGAAATGTAACACAAAAAGATGATAGCTAAACGCAGAAGATATAAGGAAGCGTCTTCATCTTCTGATGAAAGTGTAGATGAAAATGAACTTTGCGATGATGACGAAATTGAAGACGCAGCTCCAAATGAATACTGTATAATCTGCAATGACTTTGGTAAAGGTGGTGAGCTATGGTTTAGGTGTACAATATGCGTTAGATGGGTTCATCAAGAGTGTAGTGGCTGCGAAAACGCAAAAATGTATATGTGTAACTTTTTGTACAGAATAACAATGGATATATTTTATAAAAAGACAACTGAGCGGTATTACCCCAGACTTCCAGCAAATGCCGCTCAGTGTATGTTTTTCTTAATATTTTTTTATTCGTTAAAAAATAGGTTTTTATGTTACTTGTAATGAAAGTACTTGTAATAAACTGTATAATCCATATTTTACAACTTATTTTTCCGATTTGTCTAAATGAATTTAGATTTTCTTGTAAAGTGAACGTCCTTGCTCATGTTCCCCTACGTATTAAAAGAATTAAGAAATATTTAAACTTATTGGAAAACTGATGACTAATAATCATTAATAAAATTAATATCTTACCACTTGATAACTACTCATTATACAATTATTGTAAATGTGTCGTTTTAAATATTATTTATGATCAATTTTAATTTATTTTAGGTATTATAAATAATGAAGTCAATATATGCTGTTGAAGTTTTAATAAAATGAGTACAAACTGTGTTCGCAAAGTGTAAGTTAATAAATGAATGATTTGTAATAAAGAAACTGAAAACATGTGTTTTGTATTATAATTTAGTTTTTTTTTAACAAATAATTTATTTGTAATGCTAAACATAACATAAATCATTTAAAAATCTGTGGCAAAAGGACTAGTTTCCATGCCAAACACACTATCATCATCATCAAATAGTTTACCAATTTAGATTCATATGAACGTCTTCATCTAGTTTGGGAACTGATAGACGTACAAAAAATATTAAATCTGTACTGGAATCAGCGAGCTAATATAAAGGTAGAAGACGAAACATCGGACGAAATAGAAATACGCAGAGGAGTGCGACAGGGTTGTATCTTGTCACCGCTTTTATTTAATATCTACAGCGAACAAATATGCCAAGAAGCTCTCTCACGTGCAAACGAAGGGATAATACTCAATGGAGAAGTTATCAATAACATTCGATATGCTAACAATACTGTGATAATGGCAAGAACAGCGGAAGATCTACAACATCTAGTTAAAAGTATGAATGATATATGTAATAACTACGGCATAATGATGAACGTCAAAAAAACCAAATATATGACCTTCAGTAAGAATCCAATTCATGACACCGGTATGACAATAAACGGTACCCAACTTGAAAAAGTAAGCGAATACAAATACTTGGGAACCCTCATTAATGAAACATGTGACCAAAATCACGAGATAAAAAGACGTATCGAAATTGCCAGGTCTACCTTTATAAAAATGAAAAAATTATTTGTAATCGTGGTATTAGAATTCCTCTACGAAGTATAATGTTAAAATGCTATGTATTCTGTACCCTGCTTTACGGTGTTGAGGCATGGACTCTTAAACAGAGAAATATTAAAAATCTTGAAAGCTTTGAGATGTGGTGCTACCGCCGTATACTAAGAATAAGTTGGGTGGATTGAATTACAAATGAAGAGGTATTACATAGAATAAATAACAATCCAGAAGTTATTATGAATATGAAAAAGAGAAAACTTGAATACTTGGGCCACCTGATGAGAGGACAAAAGTACACGTTCTTACAAAATATATTGCAAGGAAAGATCCAAGAACGCAGAAATCCAGGCCGTAGAAGAATGTCCTGATGAGAAATTTAAGAGAGTGGTTTGGCTGTACCACTAACGAATTATTCTAAATAGCAGTTAATAAAATTAGAATCGCCATAATGATATCCAATCTCTGATAGGAGAGGCACTCAAAGAAGAAGAACAAGACATGCTACAACATAATTTATGCGCATTAGTTCCTAAACTAGACATAATTAGTGCAGTAAAAGGAAGAATATAAATACCTGTGCAAAAAGGAACAGAAGAAAGGCACAACATCAAAAGCAAATGTAGCAAAAGTAAAGAGAAACTCAAAGCCATGAAAGCTCTAAAAGAGATAAGCCCACAATATAACCTTTTGTCAATGCAACTGTAGTTATGAACAAAAGTGAATATCAGTAGAAAATTAAAGAATTTGTCACAAATGGAGCTTACACAAAACTTAAAAAGGATCCAACCAAATCATTGGAAATGAAAATATACAGATCACGACATTGTTGTATTGACCATACGACACAATGGCAATCGCTGTGGCTACACGTTTCCACCTCTATATTCATTTCACAGTAGGTACGAATTGTCGTTATTGTCACATTGACATTAAAAATTTTAAACGATGTCCTGAAAGAATAAACAAATAATTAATAAAATGCCTATTACGTTGTATACCGTCCAAGAAAAAAAGCAACTTGTAACATGGTACTTTCAGGGTCATTCAATGCGCGAAGTAATTGATTTATTTATTGTTGCCTTCGAAGATATACCCCTACCACAGTATAAAGAGGTTCCACAGTAGAACCACTCTCGGAAAAATTGGAAGTAAAGTCTGTCAACGCGCAGAGCGACTGCGCTTATTTCTTAGTCGCTCGAGAATCATTCTTCTATTGCTAGTCGCGTAGAAACGTAAGGGTGAACAGTGCCGTATTTTGGTTAAATTGAGTTAGTGTGAATAATAATTGTTAGTACTGTGAAGTACATATTGTGTGAACATGCGTAAAACTCGAAGTGGTATTAGTCGGTGTTCAGCGAAAATGTGCAAGAACAATTCAAAAAATTGTAACTACAGTTTTTTCCGATTTCCCAAGGAAGCTATTAGGTATGTATATAATTTTAAATTTGCTTATTTAACCACCTTAACAGAATAGCATCAATTATTATTGGAAATTGTAAAATGTTGTGCAGTTTTTTTAAATACTTCAAATACAATAATTATATTTACACAGAGGAAAAATGTTCTAAAGATATGTTGATATATATATATATATATATATATATATATATATAGTATATATATATAATATATTATATGTTTATATATATATATATATAAATTCGGGTTCAAAACGTCCTCCGACGTTGTCCGATGCCTTCATCTTCTAATCCTCGTACACTCATTGATCGTCTTATTTTTTGTATCCACGTCATTATTGCCCTTCTTCTTTATCTGTTGTCTGTAGGTATTCATTTCATAATTTTCTTTTGCAGTCTCTCCTCCCCCATTCTCTGAACATGTCCGTACCACGTTAATTGTTTATTCTCAATGCATATATGACCGTTTCCTGTAATTTCATTCTTCGCTTTACTTACTCATTTCTAACCCGGTCCAATCTCGATGTTCTACTGGTGTTTCTTTATTCTCCATGTTTCGAATCCGTATACCAATGTGTTCTTAATCATGGTGTTGTATATTCTCATTTTTCTTTGTTTCCTATCTCGGTACTCCACAAAACTCCGTTCAATGATTTAATTATCATTCTTTCTTTATTTATTCTGCTCTTAATTTTTGCATCTTCCGTATCTTCTTTGTTGAAATGAATTCCCAAATACTTATATTTCTCACAGCTAGTTATTTTCTGCTTAACTTTATTATCCAATATCATACTAGTTGAATCTTCACCTAGGCATAAATATTGTGTGTTTTCTACATTCATATATAATATTATATATTTATGAAAGTTAATAATAGCCGGCAAATTTAGCGTTGTCTAAATAGTGAGTAAATTTAATTTATTTTCAGAGCACGGAATTGGGCAATGTTGTGAGAGAGAGAAGATTTGTTGAAGAAAACTAACTTAAATTTGAACAGATTATGCAGTGTGCATTTTGAAACTACTATGTTTTCAAATAAAATTTGGAACAGGTTATGCAAAAACGCAGTACCAAGTTTATTTCCTTCAATAGAAGACAGTCCTAACCAACATTCGAATGTTGATCAAGGTGAGTTTTTATGTTTGAAAGCTGAAATTTCCATGTAAACCTAAGAATATTCTGCTATTTATATTGTTGACGTACAAATTTGTTGCATTGTAGTGTTGCAATAAATTGTAGCTTGTTTAATATGCAAACAATTTTACTATTTGTTATTAAAAACATATCAAACTTATTTTGTACCTATTTCTTGTGCCATGTTATAGTTTATTAGTTTTTGGTGTAAAAAACCACAACTTATGAAATTTAATTTTTATCTTTAGAATACAAATTTATTGGATTTGCATTTGTTGAATATTTTTGATTTCAAAATAACACAAGGCTTCCTTGTACTTAAAAAAATAATTTAGATTATTAATAAAAAATTAAATGTTGTAGATTAGAGATATTTAATGTACAATATGATACTTTCTTCATATAAGACAACCTATAAACTTCTGTTGTAGATGATGAAAATAGTTTTGATCCAGTAAATGAGGAAGAGAATTAGCTACCGTACCGCTAGGTGGAGAGGACAGCGAAGTTGTTCTACAAAAAAATCAAACAACTCAAACTTTGGAAAAAGTATCTACCTATAGCCCTAAAAAAACCAGCTACGAAAAACTATAAAACAACTGCAAAACAAGAATTTTCGATTAAAACAAAAATTGCAAAAACTACAAGATTCTCGAAAACCCGATTATCTTAAAAACGTCACATTGGATAATTATAAATCACTAACCGATAAATTTTGTTCTGCCAATTAAAATTTAGCAAATTTTATTAATATTCAAATTGAACAAAATCTGAAAAAAAAAAGAACGGTCGGAGATATTCAAACGAATACAAAAACTTTTGTTTACAACTATATTTTAACGGTCCAAAACTGTATAAGAAAAAATTAGTTAAAGAATTTTGCTTGCCCAGTGTTACAACATTACACAAATTTGTCACACCTATATCTGTCAAACCTGGAATAAATGACTTAATTTTTAATATACTTAAAAAAAATGAATAATGTTTCTGACCTGATAAATTATGTATCCTTTGTTTTATGTATCCTTAAATGTATTAAAAACCATTGAGATTTAAAACTTGCGCAATACCGTTGATATTTTAAATACCGTTGAAAAATATAAACATTGAATTGTAATATTGTTTTTTATTTATTAAATCTTTTGTTTTTGTAATATTAACATTAAGCCGCATTTTTTATTTTAATAAATAATAGTAATAGGCTCAGAAAGTTTTAATACGGCTCTGTAAGGTTTACCAAAGGAGCGTGCTTGCTCCGCCGAATCTACCACTGGTGAATTATCAATTTCGTACTTTGCCGGCATTACTTCCTGAGATCAAAGTGCCGACAAACGAGTGGTTTTACTGTGGAACCTCTTATACTGTGCCCCTACCAAGTATTACAACAGTTAAAAATACCATTAAATATTTTCAAATTTCGGGATGTGTAAACAGTTGTAAAAAGTGTCATGAAGGTAATCAACCACGTGTTAGACCTGTCGATGAGAAGCGTCAAAACAGGGATATAGATATTTGTGTTTTTGTGAAAGCTAGTGAACCCTGCAATAGTATACAAATTGCTAGTGAAGTTAACGTGAATGCTCGAACTGTCCAGAGAGTTCTCAAAAGGAATGGGTATCACTGTTTTAATATAAAACCAACAAATGAACTGTTTCCGGAAGATAACTTTAGGCGGATGGAGTTTTGTGATTTTATGTTAGATAAACAAAATGAAAATGTATACTTTTTAAAAAATATTTTATTTTCTGACCAA